TTTCTAGCTTCCTAACAGGATCAGAAACACGCTAAACCTTTCTCTGTGTATCGAATAACCACTTTAGATGACTGTGACGCCAGGAGGATTGGCTCCCAGATCCACCCGCTCTCTTATTCTCCTCGAGCTCATCTCTGTTCGTAGGACACCAAAGCCGAGACCGAACTCAGGCGGCCCTCTGCCTTCTTCTAACGACGTCTTACATAATTTGTGATCGTCTAAGGGAAACTCATGTATGAACTTTTCTTATTTAGTGTTGCTATATTTTATATTTTATTGGATTTGATGATATTTATTTTGTATTTTGATTGATCGATTAATAAAAACTTGTCTTATTTGGGATGTGAAAATATTTGCTATTGCAAAGAAGATGATACATAGTACCTTAGAAACTCCAAAATTGACGCATCTTCTATAGGTAATATGGCATTAGTTATTTTAGGATACTCTTATGTATCTTTAATGATTTCTAGTATGTTTATTTGGTGAACTTAATGTCTAATGTCTGCATGCTAGTTTTTATTCTTTATGATTTCGCTAATGATATTTGTTTGAAAATAATAATATAATAAAATTAAGTTGTAACTTAATATTACATTTTTTTTTGTCTTATGTTATTGTATTTATATTCCTGATTATTTTTGCAAACTTAAGCTTGTCCTAGGGGTGATTCAAAAATATTGATATTGTCAACCACTCGCAAGAAGCTCATCACAATGAAATCTAAATGCTCCCTTTGATTGAACGCTCGAGTCCAAAATGCCAAGTATAAACTCACAGATGAGGTGATTGGATTCCAGAATAAACTTGATGAGTTTAATACTTTTAGGCAATTTTTAACAAATACATTTTCCATTTCCTTCTTAATATCTTTTATTTAGTATTTGATGGTTCTTAAACTGAATTGATTTTAAATTATACGCAGTTGGAAACTTGTTATGGAGCTGAATTTGCACAAAAATAGCTAAAGAAAAATAGGCCCACGTGGTGCATTTTAGAGAAAAGCAAGATCAAATGTTGGTTATATGTTTTAGTGTTTAATT